AAAAAACAGACTGTGAATGGAAATATGAGCCTGAAATACAAAATAAGTATTTTTTTTTAAATAATGGAAGAAAGGAGGGAGCAGAGGTAATGACAGAAGCAATGAGTATTCTCACAGACTTTGAAAAGAAAAGTCTCTCTTTTTTTTTTTAAAGAGCTGAGGTGGTTAAATATATATATTTATACATGCGTGACTGTGTGTGTGAGAGACCTCGTCTGCACATGTAGCTGTGTGTGTGTAAGAAAGCTGTCAACTACTCCAGACGAGAGAGTTCCAGCAGTGTGTCAACTTAATGGGCAGAAACTGGGGCATAGTGAATAATTCAGCAGCTTTTTAGGGGGAGAGGAGACGCTTCCAATATCTTCCCTTAGGAGAAACGGAAGGACCCTGGTCTCATAATACAGTCACACACACACACACAACACGGTATGTGAGCAAGACGAGTATGCCATCAATTCAGTCTCTGCCAACAGGTTGTGCTAAACTATGTATCTAAGCGGCTAGCTTAAACCCACTGAGACTCTGCGTGTTACTTAAAGGAAATGAGCAAAACTGTGGAGAAATTGTCTGTTGGTCAACTCGCTTACAGAAGTATCAGAATCACTGTTGTGTGCCTTGGGAGACGCAGCATTGCATCAACCACCATCCACAGTTGTCAGGAGTAAAAGTAAAGCCGTGTAACAAACAACTACAACCCCACATGGAGTTAAAGTGCATTTACATGGAGACATCTTAAAAAACAACAAGAGAACAAGTGGACGAAAACGGATACGTGGATGGATTTCTTGAACGGCTGTTGGTGGCTTCGTGATGCCACAGACTGCGAGAGCACAGCATAACCAACTTCAAAACGAAAAGAGAAGCAAAGATGGCACATTTGCTGCTTTTCTCTTCATATGCATTTAACCGCACAACCAACTGTAGCTACTGCACGACTACTAGTGCTCGAGGCAGCTTGCTGAGTCATTTAAAAGTGTTTATTAATTCCTGATAATACTTAATTATATTTCACCCAGTAGTAAATTGTTGTACTGACCTCCTGTGAACTATAGCATCAATTTTAAAATATTGTTGCTCAGCTATAAATACTTACATGGGCTCGCTCTACGTTATCAAGCAGATCGTTTATGTTCCCATGCCTCATACACTCACTTAGATCTGCTGATCAGAACCTTCTAGTACAGGCTGGATTGTGCAGACTAACAGTCTTCAAATCCCTTAAACTTAAAACATGCTGCTTTTCATTAGCTTTGTCATCTTCAGAATAGCTTTAGCTAACTGAGTCATTCTCCATATTGCATCTCTTTCATTAATATTGTTTTGATCACTATTTATATTACATTTTTTACTCTAATTTTATCTATAAAATTATTATTTTTATCCTTTTTTCTTTCCTTCAATCAAGTGTATTGTTTTTTGATGATTTTACTCGTGCAGCACGAGTCCAGTTTGTTAAAAAACTGCTGTGTTGAAATGTGCTAACCTGATTTGGCAAGCAAATGGATTTGAGCAAGTTTGACAACAGCCATAGATCAGTCAGGGTGTCCATGCTGACGTGCTAAGTAACGTAGACGGTGGAGTGTCCGCGTTGCTTACCTGAGGAACACCTGGCACAAGGATGCATTATTGGAAGAAGACAGTGTTTGGGCATTGCCTTCTTGAGTTGGATACAGGACCCTAGGTTTCCCAACAGAACTCATGTGGATGTTACTTTGGCACATACCACCTGCCTAAGCATTGCTGCAGACCCTTTACACCGTTCATGGAAACGGTACTCCCTGATGACTGTGGTCTCTTTCAGCAGGATAATGCGTCCTGCCACAGAGAAAAATGGTTCAGGAATGCTTTTGTGAGCACAACAAAGAGTTTGAAGTGTTGACTCGGCCTCCAAATCTCGATCTAGTTAATGGAGGATCTGTGTGATGTGCTGGCCAAGCAAGTCTATCCATAGAGCCGACACCTCACAACTTAAAGGATCTTGTCAGGGGGCTGGGTCTGTGACCCAGCTTTTATTTTTTATTTGTAATTTTGGTTTCTCAGATTATATTGAAATATGTTCAGTTCTTGTGGTGTTATTCTTAGTTAGGGTTTAGTTCAAATTTAGTCTAGTTGTGTTATCTCCTTGTCTATCCTTGTTTTCCTTGTGTTTCTCTCCTCTGTCTCCCCCTCTCTCGCTCCCTCTCTCTTTGTCAAGCTTGTGTGTCCCAGTTCATGTCTCTCCATATTTCCTGTTTTATTTGCAAGTATTGAGTTTCCATGTTCAGTGCATTTGGTTTTGCTTCCCCTGTGGCGTCTTGTTCATTTGGGTTAGCTGTGTCTCACCAGGTGTTTCCATTACCTCATTACCCCTCTGTGTATTTAAGTCTTCCTTTGTTCAGTGTCAGGTTGTCTGTCAAGTCAGGTTTCAAGTGTTTCATGATTCTGTTCAGGACATGTTCAGGTTTTGTCTCGTAGCTTCTGCTCAGAATCGTGTTCATGTCTCTCTTGGTCATATTTATTATCATCTAGTATTTTTCCAGTTTAGGTTTTAGTTTTCACCACTGTTCGTTTTGTCTTGTGTTTGGATTCATGTTATCAGCTTTAATAAAAGCTCGCCTTTTCTTTAAACAGTAAGTTCATTTCTCCCATGTCTACTTTTGGGAGCGTTTCATAAACACACTGTGACAGATCTGCTGTTAACATCTTGGTCCATATACCACAGCACACCTTCAGGGGTCTGTAGGAGTCCATGCCTCCATGGGTCAGTGCTGTTTTGGCAGCAAAATGCAATATTAGGCAGATGGTCATAATGTCTCTCATTATTTTAAAGATGCTCTGTTATGACACCTCAAACTCAGCATTTTCACCATCGTCATCTCGGTGATCTAAAGTTGGACATGAAAAGCGATGGATCTAACTCAGACATCAACCCTAAAATCAGAGTCTGTTTTGTCTTTTTTGACTCCAGTATTAACCGTCATTTACAAAAGGAACATCATGTTACAATGAATAATACTGAAAACTTACAATTCAGACCAAATGATCTTCTAAGATAAGAATTATCACAGACTTCTATACCACTCTACAACAATCCCCTGCCATTACAAAGAACATAGGAGGAAAGAAGCTCACTTTCCTGAGCCAGAAGGTGCAGCCATCTTTTAGATAAAGTCTGTATATAATGAGTACACAGAGCTAACATGGTGACAGAGATAAAAATAAAACTAGTCATTTTGCAGCACGCCGCTCGAAAAATCTCCAACATTCAGAAACCATCTGTCCAAAAGTGTTTCTCTTTTTCTTTTTTAAGTCCTAAACTCTCCACTGCCAAAGAGCCCAGCCTTATGTAACATGTGACATTTACAACGAGGTCCGTTCCCTGTCTACCTATCTGCCACTCTCTCCTGTGTTTTCCTCCCAAACCCCACTCTGCCCCCATCCTCCTCCCCCCTCCAGCTTCTCTTCTCTATCCAGTCTGAAGCACTGACATTTAATTAGTCAGTGAGTGGAGGGTGCCTCGCCACATCAGCCCTGTAGTGTTGCTGACCTTTTCTGACTGGGTCACTCATCTGCCATTAGAGTACCACCCCAACCACCGCAATGTGCACACACAAAGACACACACACACCCTCATTACTCTCTCAGATCTAACAAAGAATACTTGAGATGAGCCAGCTGGTGATCTGGCAATTGACAGTAAGGTGGAGTGTTCTTTTCCAAAATTGGATGACGTCAAAGGATATGTTTCATGATTTGAGATGCGGACAGTTGCTATGTCTGTGCGTGTGTGCTCGTGTCCTCTGATCTTCACATCTGTATATCGATGCAGGTTTGATCATATGTTGTTGTGGCCCTTTCTTGCAGACAATTGCATCACTCTAATCAGCCATCACAGGAGAAGACTAACGACAGTTATCCTTTCATCTTCGGTCAGCGCAAAATGCCCTTTTGCAACACACGTGCGCACAGAAGGCTACACGCACGCACACACCTGTGCACCCGGTCAAAGCCAATCAGCAGTTTCCTGTTCTGTCTCCCCCCACGTCTCCTCTCCACTCCTGAGTGCTGTGACATATCAGCCAGCAACATCGGCTGCCAGACACCTCCTATCAGAATCTCTTTGGAGGGCTTTTAATCCGCCCTCTAAAGAAGTCTTTCCTGTCAATGAAGGGAAACGTGACCCCAATACCAAAGATGGAGGAGGGAGGGGAGGTCGTTATGGAGAGATCCGGCGTGAGGATCTGGCAGAGTGAGCTACCCAACTGGCCCTGTTTGCAAGTGTTGGGTTGCAGCCCAGACAGTTTTTTTTTTTTAATGGCTGGAGATGCTGGAAAGCATCCTCTGCGCACACATAGAAAAGAGGCAAAATACACCTTTATTGTCAAGAGTGAGAGGGTTGTGGTTCACTGGACAGAGGAGTGAAAGTTACAGAAGAAGACATGCAGAAAATCTTCCGAATACAGTGTCGAGAACTGCAAAATTTATCTTAAAAAAATCACAATATGCATTTAAGATTAAGTTTTAGGAAAGATTTTGTTTATTTCACTGCAGATCGCAAAGGTACACTATACATTAGAATTTCATATATTATAATTTAATAAACAAAAGCTGCAAAAAAAACTAACACAACAACTACCACCTCCAAATCCTATAATTATTGTAGAAGAAGAAGCATTATGGAAAAACAAAAAATGAACTTTTGATTTTGAATTGATTTGATTTGATATACCTGTATTAGTCCCACAAGGGGAAATTTCATTAGGCTGCCGACCTATTGCATGCAATGGCGGCGCCATCTTACCCTCTGACTATACATACATTACACAAAAACATCACATGGGGAAGACAGGTCAGAGAGGTATAACAATGGAAAAATGCACCACACGAGGAAAGATAAGGAGAAAAAAATAACTCCCCCCAGACTGAGCTCCAACAGGGAGTCAAAGTCAACGTTTGTGACTTGACAGCCCTGATGAGAATGAGGTGCTAAAAACTATCATTAAGGCCCCATCATGTCATCATGTCACTGGCATGGTGTTTATCCATGTGTCATCTCTGTGGCCTGTGGAGCTCCAGCCAGAGCATCACATCTCCTCCTCTGATCCCAGAGTCACTCCATTGTCTAATAACTGGGATCATGGATGGTCCACAGATTTTGTTGTTCTTTTTTTTCCACTCAGTGATTTCAGCAGCTGTCCTAGACAGAGAAGGAGAATTAATCAGATAATTCCGGCCTATGGAATGAAAAGCTGCATCTTGTAGATCCTAGAGGCATGTGTTTGCCCACTACATGGTTTCCACACTCTGTAATCATAGCCATTAAAAACGTTTTTCAAGCTTCGATTTGGAGACAAGAAACCTCGACAGCTTGGCCAAGCTGCCAAATAATGAATGTAAACTACTACCGCAAAAAGAATGTCACAGATCCCTTAGATATCAGACAGTCTGGAATCCCTGCAGAGTCCAAATCAGATAAATGCAACCAGGCCAAAGCAGCCCTGGACTGCACCACACTCTCTTTCACAACAGATGATACCATTAGGTCAGAGCAGATTCTCTTTCCATCACTCCTCCATTCCTCTCGGTTCAGTCAGTTTTACACCAGGCTGTTAGACATTCGTGCTGGGTCCCTCAGTGCCTCACTTAGCACCTTAGTTCAGGAGAGAGCTTGGCCAGTGAGCAATCTGTCACCACTGTAAATACTCGGTCATCTTGGAAGGATCACTGCTAACTGAGAGAAGAGAGCTACAATATTTATAAAAATATGACCCACAAAAAGAAAAAACAGAGCACGATGTGCACACCCAGAACTCATAAATGACTAACATGGTAGAATAAATGAACCCATAATAATTTAAGTCAAGAGCAGAGGAGGCACAGATCCATATAGAAAGCATGGAAATAAAATAATAATAACATTAATAATTTTAAACAGTGCAGTCTTCAGGTGGGAAACTGAAGCCAATACTAAAATGCGGTAAACCTGGTGGGGCTGTGGGAAATAACAAATTTAAAGAGACATTTCCTGGTTTGATGAGTCCTGATTTTCACCTCAACATGTGGATGGTGGGATAAGAATCTGACGTAAATAGCATGAAAGTATGGATCCATCCTTCTATCAACAGCTCAGGCTGCTGTTGGAGGAGTAATTGGTGTGGGAGTTATTTTCTTGGCACTCTTTGAGCCCATTAGCACCAGCTGAACATCATTTAAATGCTAAAGCTTACACAAGTATTGTTGCTGAGCATGTCCATCCCTTTATGACCACAATGTCCCCATTAGGACTGAGCAATTAATCAAAAATGAATCAAAACTGACATTCAGACTCTCTAATTGACATAATCATGCCCATTTTGGTTATTTTCGTGTTACCCCAGTGTGCACTGTCCTCTTTAAAAGAAACTAGCCAGTTTGTGGTCACGTGACTTTGCTCTTTTTAGTTTGTGACATGCAAGCATCATGGAGGAAAGCTCAAACACCAAAGCCGGCCACAGAACTCGAACAGCTTGTGACGAATATAAAATTACGTGTTCGTTGTTTCGACATATTTTGGGGTTCAGTCAAGCCCATATAAAAAAGGGGGGGAAGCAGAAAACTGCAGGAAAAATAGTTCAGGTAATATCAGAGTATAACAATTAAACTTATGCACGAGATAAACAGAAAGTTGTTGGAAGCGTCTTCGGATTTGAACGTGTTTTGTTGTTTCCACCATTCCACATTAAAGTGAGTGGATCTCTTGTAATTAATATAACATGACAAAATTTAAGAGCTCGACACGTGGTGACAACTGTACTATTTTCATGTCAAGCGAAAAATATATATCATGTGAGTAAATTGTGGGAAAATCTAATTCTTTTTGCTTCCTGTAATAACACCGGAGAACACCCTTGAGCTGGAAAATGTTTCCAAACCACATAATTTTACTCCTCAATTCAAAGAATCCCTGTGCGCCCCAGGGATGATCTTCCATTACAGCCCCTGACCTCTAATCTCCAAGAGGTGAGAGGAAAGGGAATTTCCCCCGGGATCAACAAAGTATTACTTAATCATTATTAATCTGGGCCGAAAAAAAAGAAAAAGAAATGAAACAATTTGGTTGATGGAATTTTAGATCAAAAGAGATTTAGCAAATCTCCCTGTTTACCTTTAGCCATAGATAAAGTGCTTACATTGCCAAAGGCGCCACACTAAGATGTTAAGGTTTTAAAACTCTTTTCAACTGAGCCCTGGGAAAGAATGATAAATGAAGGAATTTATTATAATCTGCTGCTGGTTATTTCATTCTTAGGCCTTGTATAGCTCTGTCTCTGCTGGCTAGTTTGACACAGATTTTGCTTCAGACAGAAGGGACCAGTGAGTGGAAGTACAGATACTAAGCATACATTTAGTATGTTTACTCCCCTTCCATGAAATGTAGATCCTTGTATTAATTTTGAGAATCTTTATTTAAATGTAATATTCTTTTTTTTTCATTCAGAGTGAGATAACAATCCCTCATGTTGCACACATGAAGGGCAGAAACCAAAGCTCAAGTCTCTCATAACTTAAGAAGTAGCCAACTGACATTGTGCTTTAATCAGACTGCACAAGTTCAGACCTAATGTGACAGCAAACAACAGCCTCACTCGAGAGTCTTTGACAAGACACAGACTGCTTATGAGCTCTATGGCTCCTTAAAGACTCTGGTTAGTAGTAGCATAAATTGTCTACCCAAAGTACAAAAGCCATAAAATAGCTAAATCGGTAAATCTAGTGACAAAGTACCTCTGAGAAGCCGAAGTGCTTAAATCAACTCACTTTTGCTGGTAGTTATTACACCGCATTGATTGTCCACAGTATTTCTGCAGCTCTCTGCTTTTTGGACAGAATCTTTGGCGCAGCTCTTCAGTGCATTAATTTCTGCTTGTTTAGCTCATGTCTGCATACCTTTGCTTTTGCTTTTGTTGCATTTGCAATGGAGCTACTGCGACAAAAGACAATTAATCACCCATTCTGCTATTGCAATTTGGATCTTACACCACAAACCCACTCTGTATGCTGCTACTATAAAACTTTTCCTGAGATAGAAACTTTATGTAACTGTATCACCCAAAGTGGGAAGAACTGGTATTTTAGTCTAATTTAAGAGAATAATTCTATATTTAGATTCATCTCCAGGCATAAAAATGATGCAGTTGTTGCTTGCCAGTGTTGGCAGCTCCAATAAATTTCCATGTCCAACTTATTTGTTTGAACCCAGTAAACAAATATAGGATTGATGGCTAAAAGAAAAGAAAATTTAAGATGGAAAAAGAACACAGGATAAGGTTGTGTTTGTTGAACCTGACTGGATGCATCTGACTTTTTCCTGAAAAAGGTTGCAACATAATGTCTTCTGATTCATTTATTGTGACATAACATGACTGGTTTAAACTGACTCAACCATAGAGTACTGTGGCAAAGTCTGAAAATGAGAAATGGATGCAGTGGTTTAATAAAACATACATAACTCATACAAACACAGATTGAAATACAGTCTCTCTCTCTCTCTCTCTCTCTCTCTCTCTATATATATATATATATATATATACACATATATGGCCAAAAAAAGAGTTTGTACAATTATAATGATCAATAATAATTCTTCTATACAAGCCCGAGCTCTCTAAGGTCCTATTCCTTTAAGCAGTCTTCAGGAATAGTTCTCCAGGCTTCTTGAAAGACATTCAAAGTTCTTCTTTGGATGTTTCTGCCTTTTGTTCTGTTCTTGTCAAGATAATCCCACACTGCTTCAATAGTCTTGAGTTCTGGCTCTGGGGAGGCCAATCCATGCAACACGTTCTCATCCCAACGCGTAACATACTGACGACTGTGACAAACCATCGGTATGTTACACATTCGGAGGCATGAGAGCGGGTTGGAATGAATCTATAAATGTGTTTTCATGTGTGACATGAAAATCAACCTAACAAAGCATTATGTATGTTAAATCTCTTCACTTTTGGATCCTGAATCACTTTGGAAAACACTACGTCATAGGGTTAAGGTTATGGTTAAGGTTAGAATTAGGGCTGGAATGGACAGCTGGAGCCTCTGCTCTAAGAGTGTCCTACTGCTGCGAGTGGCTGCGAGTGTCTTATTAGGATGTGGAAGAGTACCTTTTGCACTACTATGCAACGCCTAGAGGCATGACAAATAGTCTGTATGCTATGTATTGGGAATAATAATACTCTGGTCCATGACCGATAGTGTTCCATATTGTGTTTTTCGATTCAGGTTTGCTTTCACTGCATTGGCAGTGTGTTTAGGATCATTGTCATGGTGAAAAATGTAGTTGTTGCTAATTAGATGCTTTTGAGATGACACTCAATGATGGATCAAAATCTGGTACTTTTCTCCGTTCATAAGTGCCTAAAGACACATTTTAAAACTGGTTGTTTGCTAAATTGTCTGTTATTTGTATATAAAACACTGGTTCATCCTTTGAGTTAGGTGTCTTTTTTATGCTTGACTCATCCATAGATCAGGCTCAACAAACCCCCAAAAATCTTTGAAAAATCTAAAGTAGGCCTGGAAAAATATTGCTCAAAATCAGTTTTAAAATTTTACAATGTCTGTGTCCTTGGATGCAAAAGATAAAGGTATAAGTGGCAATTCTGTAATTTAATGCAAATTATTTGCTTTTTGCTATTTTACATTGTACTTTTCCCAATAATACTGGAACATTCTGGACGTATTTGATTGATTTAATCAAATCTGTATTTTGCTACAGCTGCATTGCTGTTTCATTAATAAATAGGCCTTGAAGAGACCTCGATCCTAGTTTTGTAATATCATCCCAGCTTTTATGTAAAAATATTAATAATCTAAAGTGTTATCTTCTCAGGGGCATTACTGGAATATTTTGGACTAGGCCATCTGTCTCGTCAGCTGACATGACCGCTGCTAAGTGAGACTTTAGGGGCATTTACTCCCTCCTCTGATATGACAGCAGCTACAGAGGTCACGACTAAACCACAGTCTTTCTGTTGTTCATTTGTCAGTTATGTGTGAGTTTGTTGCTCTCATACTTTGCAGTTACTGTTAGCTAACTGCTCTTTTGGCAGTTTGTATTTGTTTGCGTTCATTCAATAATGAGTAACACTGATTGCCTTTTAGGAACACCAGAATCCACTGTCGGCATTGTCTGTTGGACACGTAGCGTAGCCAACTTCTCCC